GTGGCGGTGGACGTAAGGTGATAGCAACGGTGGTTGTGGTGGGGGTGGTGATAGTGGGAATGGTGGTGGTGGGGTGACGATAGGGGTGTTGGTTGCAGTGATGGTGGTGGTGGTGGTGATGATAGGGTGGCGGTGGCGGTGGTGATTGGGGGTGGTGGTGGGGCGATGAATGTGGTGGTGGTGGTTGTTGTTGTGGTAGAGGTGGTGGTGTGATGGCCGCGGTGGTGGTGGCAGGGTAGTTATGGTAGTGGGGTGACGGTGGTGGTGGTAGTGGTGACGGTGATGGTGATGGTGCTGGGGCGGTGGGGGTGGTGGTGGTACAGTTTTGAACACTACCTTTTTTTTAATGTATTTATGAAAAATTTTTAATTCTAAAAATATTTTAAAAAAATTATTCCAAATGCACCCTTAGGGGGCCATTTTCTCTATTAAATTTAGAAATTAATATTAACCGTCGGATTAATTTCAAAATAAAATTTAAAGAGATCTCAACCGCAAAAAATAAAAATTATTTTGTTTATTTTTTAAGATTTGAATTGTATTATACTTTATTATAGAGATAAGTTGTATTACAACACAATTAGTTCATCTTATACATATTTTTTCTATAATGCTTTATATTCAAGTTTTGTATTGATCGCAGGACCAAAAAAAAAAAAATTATTTTGATCTTTTTATTAAATAAAATACGATGGATCAACTCTGTTATAATTCAAAGCCATCAAGATTAAATACATAATCCATAATTTTACGTCAAATTGGCGTGTTGTCTCAAAAGTTCTCAACCACGCTCAGGTGTCATTTTCCCAAGTGTTGAGTTCTCAAGGCCGCTGCATAGACATAATCATGTGTTGGTGTTAGTTGTATGTTATTATTTTCCATCAAAGCTAAGCTGATCAAAAGGACTTATTTCTGCATTGCAGTTAACATTCAGTGCTTGATATACAGTCCAAAGAAGGCAAATCACAAAGCCAATTACACTTTCAACAGTCACATTGGCATAGACATAATCTTTGGAAGTTTCAAAACTTGGACATTGACAAAGATAATTATAAGCATACAAAAAAAAAACCTAGACGCCTCTGTCCATTGGACAAACAAATGATGGTACAGGCATTTAGGCTTGCTATCCTTTTTTTTTTTTTTTTGGTCGTCGGCTTGTTATCCATTGAAAATGTCTTTTTGTTATCCTTTTTATTTTGGAACAGTATATACTGTTTTGTTGAAAATGCATAATGTAAGCAAAATTGAATCAGGACAATGAAATAAGCCCAAAACAACATTTATTTGCAAATTGGGCAAGGAAAAATCATGAATAGTCACTAGTACCACGTCATTGTCCCGGCAAACTATAGAAACTGAGGTCCCCCATTTCCTAAATTTTCAAGCACTGAAGCAATATCAAGACAAAAGAGAAAACAAAGCCCCCGAACAAAGGAACTACCGATCGAGCTGCAGCGTCCAAATGTGGCGATGATGGTGTGATTGTCAAATCCTGTTAATGGTAGGCGCAATTATAAATGTGATGGCCAAAAACACTAACACAGACAAATTAGAGTATATGAAGTCTAGTACATAAGAGTGTGAAAGCTCTATGAACTACACAATCTTTTAGGAACTGTATGATACAAAGAAGTTAGTTAAGTCACACACAGGTAGAGAAGAAAAGTTTTTCGGATTTAACTGTTGACATTGGCCATTTCATTCTCTTTCCTTCCCCACAACTAAATGCATCTCTGTGGCGTAATTCTTGAAAAAGATTCATAGAAGCACAATTTTGAGATCAGTAAAATTATGGTAGAAAACGAAAACCTCAACAGTAAACGATATGACAGACAATAAACAAAGGGCTTATGCTAGCTTCAAATTATATTTTTGGAACTGAAAACTACTATTTATCCCAAGATTATTAAATGGGCAACATTAACGACATTGAATGATTTCTATTTATCTACTAGGAGCTTGAATCCCACTAAACTAGGAGCTGCAATTTTCGTAAGGCAAATACACATAAAGTGAGTATTCGTTCACAAAATATTTTCAATAGAGAATTGAGGCTTGGAGAAATGATTCGTTTCCCCTCCAGAAGGGATAAAATATTCTGGGTCTCTTACTTTCTTAAAATAATTAGAGTTTCAAGAAGGATATGCCTAGATTGGTAAGTATTTGTATAATTGTATCCCTGTGACATTCTATGTCAGCTCAAATTTATTTTGCACACCTTCAGAACATAAATGTATAATACTCCAATCTGAAAATATGNGTGGGGGTGGTGGTGGTGGTACAGTTTCAAACACTACTTTTTTTGTAATGTATTTATAAAAAATTGTAAGTTCTAAAAATATTTTAAAAAAATTATCCCAAATGCACCCTTAGGGGGCCATTTTCTCTATTAAATTTAGAAATTAACATTAACCGTCAGATTAATTTCAAAATAAAATTTAAAGAGATCTCAACCGCAAAAAATAAAAATTATTTNACTATAGGTGATGATTATACTCATGGATTTTACAGAATGTGGATGAAACAATGTGATAGTAATAAAATTCATAAGCTATGCTGCTGACGGCGGATGCCATGCATCACATATGATGGCATTGATTTGGACGTTTAATGTCTAAACTTCTAAACAGAAGAGTTGTCAAAACGGAACTCCAAATTTACCTTTGAAGCAGCAAAGNAGTATTACAACACAATTAGTTCATCTTATACATATTTTTTCTATAATGCTTTATATTCAAGTTTTGTATTGATCGCAAGACCAAAAAAAAAAAAAATATTTTGATCTTTTTATTAAATAAAATACGATGGATCAACTCTGTTATAATTCAAAGCCATCAAGATTAAATACATAATCCATAATTTTACGTCAAATTGGCGTGTTGTCTCAAAAGTTCTCAACCACGCTCAGGTGTCATTTTCCCAAGTGTTGAGTTCTCAAGGCCGCTGCATAGACATAATCATGTGTTGGTGTTAGTTGTATGTTATTATTTTCCATCAAAGCTAAGCTGATCAAAAGGACTTATTTCTGCATTGCAGTTAACATTCAGTGCTTGATATACAGTCCAAAGAAGGCAAATCACAAAGCCAATTACACTTTCAACAGTCACATTGGCATAGACATAATCTTTGGAAGTTTCAAAACTTGGACATTGACAAAGATAATTATAAGCATACAAAAAAAAAACCTAGACGCCTCTGTCCATTGGACAAACAAATGATGGTACAGGCATTTAGGCTTGCTATCCTTTTTTTTTTTTTTTTGGTCGTCGGCTTGTTATCCATTGAAAATGTCTTTTTGTTATCCTTTTTATTTTGGAACAGTATATACTGTTTTGTTGAAAATGCATAATGTAAGCAAAATTGAATCAGGACAATGAAATAAGCCCAAAACAACATTTATTTGCAAATTGGGCAAGGAAAAATCATGAATAGTCACTAGTACCACGTCATTGTCCCGGCAAACTATAGAAACTGAGGTCCCCCATTTCCTAAATTTTCAAGCACTGAAGCAATATCAAGACTAAAGAGAAAACAAAGCCCCCGAACAAAGGAACTACCGATCGAGCTGCAGCGTCCAAATGTGGCGATGATGGTGTGATTGTCAAATCCTGTTAATGGTAGGCGCAATTATAAATGTGATGGCCAAAAACACTAACACAGACAAATTAGAGTATATGAAGTCTAGTACATAAGAGTGTGAAAGCTCTATGAACTACACAATCTTTTAGGAACTGTATGATACAAAGAAGTTAGTTAAGTCACACACAGGTAGAGAAGAAAAGTTTTTCGGATTTAACTGTTGACATTGGCCATTTCATTCTCTTTCCTTCCCCACAACTAAATGCATCTCTGTGGCGTAATTCTTGAAAAAGATTCATAGAAGCACAATTTTGAGATCAGTAAAATTATGGTAGAAAACGAAAACCTCAACAGTAAACGATATGACAGACAATAAACAAAGGGCTTATGCTAGCTTCAAATTATATTTTTGGAACTGAAAACTACTATTTATCCCAAGATTATTAAATGGGCAACATTAACGACATTGAATGATTTCTATTTATCTACTAGGAGCTTGAATCCCACTAAACTAGGAGCTGCAATTTTCGTAAGGCAAATAAACATAAAGTGAGTATTCGTTCACAAAATATTTTCAATAGAGAATTGAGGCTTGGAGAAATGATTCCTTTCCCCTCCAGAAGGGATAAAATATTCTGGGTCTCTTACTTTCTTAAAATAATTAGAGTTTCAAGAAGGATATGCCTAGATTGGCAAGTATTTGTATAATTGTATCCCTGTGACATTCTATGTCAGCTCAAATTTATTTTGCACACCTTCAGAACATAAATGTATAATACTCCAATCTGAAAATATGCAATGATCAGGATAATAACAGTAATCTCAGTTAGTTTGATGAAGTAATGGTGCAGAGGAAAATTGATATGTCCAAGTGCTGATTGTGCTGGAGCATTGTTGCATACTACTATAGGTGATGACTATACTCATGGATTTTACAGAATGTGGATGAAACAATGTGATAGTAATAAAATTCATAAGCTATGCTGCTGACGGCAGATGCCATGCATCACATATGATGGCATTGATTTGGACGTTTAATGTCTAAAGTTCTAAACAGAAGAGTTGTCAAAACGGAACTCCAAATTTACCTTTGAAGCAGCAAAGCACAATTGAGGTTGTCGTACAATATATATTTGATCGCCATGGCTGTTCTCCTTGTAGATATCCTGGTTCCTGTGCCATGTCCATAAGGCATAGGTCGAATTCAAAACCTGCATTGGAAAACAAAAAGACATCCTACATGAATGAAGAAAGGTTGATAGAAACTGTTACACAGAACATGACAAACATGTTACTTAATAATATCCGTGCCAAAGATTAAAAAAAAAAAAACCCAACAACTTGAGACAGATATATAATTTTTTTTGGCTGGTTATTACTAGATTGTCCATGCATCTGAGTTCGATGATGTGCATCGCAATTCCAGAAGTCACTCAAGCACTTGTTCTTGCACAGATGAAAGAAATCACAAAAAAACATANGCTATAGGTGATGACTATACTCATGGATTTTACAGAATGTGGATGAAACAATGTGATAGTAATAAAATTCATAAGCTATGCTGCTGACGGCAGATGCCATGCATCACATATGATGGCATTGATTTGGACGTTTAATGTCTAAAGTTCTAAACAGAAGAGTTGTCAAAACGGAACTCCAAATTTACCTTTGAAGCAGCAAAGCACAATTGAGGTTGTCGTACAATATATATTTGATCGCCATGGCTGTTCTCCTTGTAGATATCCTGGTTCCTGTGCCATGTCCATAAGGCATAGGTCGAATTAAAAACCTGCATTGGAAAACAAAAAGACATCCTACATGAATGAAGAAAGGTTGATAGAAACTGTAACACAGAACATGACAAACATGTTACTTAATAATATCCGTGCCAAAGATTAAAAAAAAAAAAAACCCAACAACGTGAGACAGATATATAATTTTTTTTGGCTGCTTATTACTTAGAGTGTCCATGCATCTGAGTTCGATGATGTGCATCGCAATTTCAGAAGTCACTCAAGCACTTGTTCTTGCACAGATGAAAGAAATCACAAAAAAACATAAATATCAATCTTTTATATTTATATAGAGCTACAATAATAGGACTTTAAGTTATTCCAGTCAAATTTCAGAAAATTGAATGAGGCTTACACTATAGGGCAATGTTGGGTAATCTTTATTGTTTGAGGCACAAATTCTAAACTCATCGTTTTCACACCTGAATTGCTAACTGTCAAAAATGATATGCCTTGAGACTGCCTTCAATATGTAAACAAAAGGTCCTCAAATTAACCATCATGACCTTATTCTTTAACTTGCAGTTTACTGTTCTTCTACTTTAAATACCTTGAAATAGAATATTTATCGAGCCAATCTTTCTGTACGGAAATTTGTTAAATCTCTGCCAGAGGATGAACTGGTGATTCAAATAAATAAACCACATTTTTATTCGCGTTTATTGTTGGTATCAAAATCCAAAGGACAGAGTTAAACAATCAGACAGTTTTCTTGTTCAATTAAAATCCCCGGCCTTGATTGCAGCCAGTCTCAAGTCATTGGGATTAAGAATTGTTGAGAGTATAGGTAGTATACNCGGTATCAAAATCCAAAGGACAGAGTTAAGCAATCAGACAGTTTTCTTGTTCAATTAAAATCCCCGGCCTTGTTTGCAGCCAGTCTCAAGTCATTGGGATTAAGAATTGTTGAGAGTATAGGTAGTATACAAACAAATCTTTGTCTGTTTTATCTGAAGAGGAGTATTCTCTCTCTCTTTCTTAAGTCGATAAATTTGTGCGTGTGAAAATTTGTGCGTGTGAAAATAATAGGTTTACAGCAAACACCCCATAAATATTTGAAGAAAACAAAGTNCTCTCTCTCTCTCTTAAGTCGATAAATTTGTGCGTGTGAAAATAATAGGTTTACAGCAAACACCCCATAAATATTTGAAGAAAACAAAGTTATTGTCATCAATGGAATCAATAGAAGCAACCATAAATCATTTCCATAAGTTATTATGGAGGATTCCATGATTTGGTGAATTAAACTCGTTTTAGAGTGCATGGAAATGAAGAGACTCATGCTAATTCTTGTCATGACACAAAATAATAATTTTTTTCAGAATCAAACACCGTCTGTAAATGCACAGACAGGTGGTAATTGACTCAAAAAGCTTAATATACCTCAAGTATTCCATGTCCAAAGCTGCTTTCTCTGTATGCACTCCACTCTGGTTGTCTGTCCCAGCAAAACTTGCCTTTTGCAGGACCAGAGGTGAAATTCAAATGGCATACCCCTCCATATTCTGGTGTGTTGTCTCCAGCTGACGGACAGTTTCCGGGATCATCTGCATGATCAACATCAACTTCCTCAATATTACCACCATCTCCAACTGTTATGTAAACAGGCCCACATGGATCCAATGTATAGTTGTAGACTCTATTCATCCGCTCATATGCATGCACCTGCAAATAAAACTCTATTCATTCGCTCAAATTATGTCTATACAACTATTAGTTATACATATTAAACACAAGAAAATTTATATTCCCAGGACTGTTCTGGTAAGAGTAGGAAGTGATTAACTTTATTTCCTATCTGGTGGTAATGATGAAGGTGGCATGCTTGAAGGTGCTCGAAATATTGGTTTGCTACTAGAGGTGGAGGCAGCAATAGTGATGAAATGGTGACATTGGGGTCGACAATTCAACAGTTTTTTTTTTTTGGTGGTCTTGGGAATTTTTTTGAACATAAAAACCAATTATGTGATTTGATGTGAAATTTCAAGTCCTATGGGACAATTAAGTAGAAGTACAAAACCCTAAGTCCAGCCCAACTTGTCGGCATAAAATGCACTCCTTGGAAGGACTGTTTCAGTACTGATATCTTAGAGCATGCACTTCACTTTGAAATATTTTCTGAGTGATAGGTTTTCTTCAGTTTCCATTCACTCAAAATTATAAGAAATGGTACTACTTAGACTGAAATAGCGTCATGAAAGACACTTGTACAGGTCATAAAAGCTAAAACATCTGGTAGTTGACAGCCCATCTAAGAGACGTGCCTTTGCCTGTAATGATTTCCTTCAGGTCTCAAATAACTTCATTATCCAACTGTGGTACCAGTACCTTGTGCTATAATTCATGTGTAAAGTCGAGAGGATTAACACAATATTGGAGAGAAACAGAGAGTGATCAAAACTTAACCTACCTCTCCCAAACCACTTGTATTTATAGTTAACTTGAAATAATATAAAAGACATATATACCCTCTAATATTTACACACAATACCCCAATACTCTTAACTCTCCCCCTCAAGCTGGACTATATATATCATATAATCTAAACTTGGAACAAATTGCTGTAAGACATGTACGACTCAATGCTTTGGTAAATATATTTGCAAGTTGATCTTTAAATCTCACAAATAGAGTCGAAATCTCTCCATCTACTATCTTGTCTCAAATAAAATAACAATCAACTTCAATATGTTTGATTCTCTCGTGAAACATTGGAAGGACAGCGATATAGATAGCTGTCTGGTTGTCACAGAACAAGTGCAAAGGAAGTTGGACAAGAAATTTAATTTTTTAAAGAAAGTGTAGTAACCATGTCAACTCACTCGTGGTATACATCATTGCTCTATCCTTAGCCTCAGCACTGGATCTTACAACCACGGGGTGTTTCTTACTCTTCCATGTGAAATGTTACCTTCTAAGAAAGTACAATAATCAGTGGTTGATCCCCGATCAGAAAAAGAGCCAGCCCAATCAGCATCTGAGAAATCTTCCACCCTAAGGTGTCCATTAGCTTGATACAACAACCCAAGACCGGAAACACGTTTAAGATATCGCAGAATACGAGTAACTGCCTCCCAATGTGGTACTCTAGGACATCCCATAAACTGACTTACCGCACTAACTGCATAGGAAATATCCGGTCGAGTAATAGTGAGATAATTGAGGTTCCCAACCAACCTGCGACACAATGCACTGTTATCCATCAACAATTTATGATTCATGTCCATAGGAACATTAACTGGTCTGCTCGACTACAAGTAAATGGGCAAAAGAACAACAAAGCAAAAAGACAACACTAATCATTTTAATGCCTTCATTTTGGAGTAATGTTGCCTACTCTCTTAAGCTTACAGGCCCTCTTGTTCGTGTGCTTCGATTGGTTGATGGTGAGAAAAAGCTTCTCATGGGGTACATTTATGAAGCTATGGACTAGGCTAAAGAAGTAATTGCTAATTCTTTTAATGGCAATGAAGAGAAGTACAAACACATCTTTGAAATCATTGATCGAAGGTGGGAAGTTCAATTGCATCGGCCTTTGCATACAACTGAGTATTTTTTGAACCCAGAGTTTTTCTATTCCAATCCCAAGGTTGAGAAAGATCAAGAAGTCATGAATGACCTACATAAATGTTTAGAAAAGTTGGTCCCATATCCTGCAATACAAGATAAAATTGGTTAAGAGTTGAGTATTTACATGAAAGGTGAAAACCTCTTTAAGTTGTCCATGGCGGTTAGACAAAGAACAACGAGGGCACCAGGTAATCTATGTTATCCCACAAGCTTATTTCATTATTATTATTTAAAGATGTTAGTTAATTAATTGTTATTCATTATTCACAGCCGATCGGTGGAATGCATACGGGTCTACAACTCCAAATTTGTAAACCTTTGCAAAAGAAATTTTAATTTTAAACCTTACTTGTAGTACATCCGGTTGTGAGCGAAATTGGAGTGTGTTTGAGCGTGAGTATCATCCTCAAACCTCTTCAATTACATTTTTTTTTATCCTCTTATAAATTTTAATATATTGTTGATAAATTATTGCAAATACACAAAAAAAAAAAATAGACTAGCTCAATCTCATCTCAATGATTTGGTGTTTGTTTAGTATAATAGAGCTTTGAGATGCCGATATGATTCTCGTGACACAATTGATCCAATATCTTTGAAGGATATCGATAATAGCAATGAGTCGTTAATTGGGAGAATGGATGCAGTAACTGATGAAGATAATGAGCTTGTATTTGGTGATGATACTTTGACTTGGGGTGAAGTTGCTCCAGCTTTTGGAGTTCAGAAAAGTAGCCAACGGACTAGATTAACACTATCTACTAAGGTAACACCAAGGTTTACAAGGTCGACCACTGGACTCATAGACGAGGGAGACATAATTTCAGTTGAGGCAGAGGAGGAGGATACAAAGGGCTATGAATCTAAGGATAATGAAGAAGATGGTTTCTTTAGTGATGAAGATTTATTTCTAAGTTCTTGAGATAATTTCTTTAGTTGCTTGAATTGTATGTCTTATGTTTTTAAATATTAGGATTTGAGATATTATTAATGTTTATTTGAATTTAAATGTTTAAGCTATTACTGTTATTAAGATTTGAGATATTATTAGTGTTTGTTTTAATTTAAATATTTATGGTTTTACTTGCATTTAAATATTTAGTATATATAAAATTAAAACTTAGATGTTTAGAAGTAATTAAACTAAAATATATATTTTTTTTAACTGTTCACTTTCGCTTCGGTAAAGCGTATCACTTCGCTTCTCGCTTAGGCATTAGGAGTCTTGGTCGCTTCGGTTCGCTTTACGCCTTAAATAACACTGCCCGTACCAATCTTCTTCTTCATCTTGAGATCCTGAAACACACAATGAGAGGAATAAAAGTTTACGGAACAATTCAGGGAACGAGTAATCTTGCTAATGAAAAATAAACTAAAAGAAAATTGAGGAACAAATAACACGGAGAATAGGAACATATCAGGACTCAAATGAGTAGTCCCTAAACCTGAAACTTTAGAGCAAGTACCATAAGCAAGGGAAACACTGTGTGTAGAATTAGCAGGCTGATAAGTAGAAAAGACACTAGACGCACCAGTCATGTGGTCAGACGCCACAATCTATGATTCAAGGACTACCAGTGGAGGACAATAAACAAATGGAGGCAGTATCTGACTGGGCAAAAGTAGCTGTGGAGGAAGATGGACTAGCCTGTTACTGGGACAGAAATTGAGCATACTCCTCTCATGTAATAGTAACTGACCTAGAGTCATGTGGAGCGGGTCGAGGTACAAAAGCAACAACTGAGGTGTAATCTTGATAGAAAACCTGATTAACTGCACTAGAAGGTTTTCCATGTAAATTCCAACAAAAATCAACAGTGTGCCTTCCACGACCATAGTGAGCACAGGAACGAGAGCCACCACGGCCCCCACGACCACCACTACGACCTCCATTACGGCCTCCACGATTACCACGACTACCTCGATTACCATCACTGTGGCTATTAGGAACCATAGGTGCTGAACGATCGGTGGAGACGTCATGATCAATGCCTAACGGAGCAGTAGACAAGGTAGCACGCTGTAAACAAGAGAAAACATTAAGTAGAGAAGGAAGACTGGAGACACCCAAAATCTAAAAGCGAATAGGCTCATATTCAGACTTCAAACCTACTAGAAATCACACAACATTCAAATCCTCATGTTGTTTCTACCAAACTACTGCATCAGTAGTAAATGGATGGTAAAGCTTCATCTCCTCACAAACTCCCCAAACGTGAGAATAATAATCTTCAAGACTCAGAGTACCCTGCTCCAGCCAGAAATACTGTTTGCATACCTTATAAGCATAGGTAAAGTTTCCTATACTAGAATACATAGTACCCAAGTGGTTCCATATGTCCTTGGCAGTGTCAAGATAGAACAGAACTAATACTAGACTCAATGCTATTCAACAGTAAAGAAATAATTTGAGCGTCTTCTTGTTCCAATTGATCATACCTAGGAGTATCTTCCTTGGATTTAGGATCCACCAAATATTTCTTAATCCTTTGCCTCGAAGAAAGACTTGAACGGATCGGGACCATAAAGTATAATTGGTCCCATTGAGTTTAACAGAAGTCACGGGACTATTGAGAAGAGCCGGAGGAATAGAGGTAGGTGGCAAAGATGGAGTAAGGGAGTTAGCATCTTGCTTGGGTTCCATAATAATGCAACAAATAGCAAACAAGAGAGTCTTATGCTGGGTAAATCGCTAAGCCAGACACAGATCAGCTGTTACAATGCTGAACTGGAGAAAAAGAGGTTGCTGAAAGACTGAACTGGGATGGAGAACCTAGCTGCACCGCTGAACCGGACAGGTTTGGCTCTCTAGACCACTGAACCGAACAGGATGGGCTCGCTAGACCACTGAACCGAATAGGCTGGGCTCGCTGGATCGCTAAACCAGAGTAAAAATTGATTGAACAGGTCTGAACCGGTGCAAAACTAGCTGAACTGAACGGCAGAAACTGGCTGAACCGAGATCAAACCGGGATTGATCCAGTCTAGGCTGGATCAGATCCAGTCTGGGTTGGACCAGAGACTAAAATGGGTTGGATCAGGTTTGGTTCTTGGGCTGGATTTGAAATAATTTAAACCCGTAGACTTGGGTGTGAGTTCGAGTCCTTTATCCAAAACCGTGGAGTTGGGTTTTGGACCTTCTCTTCTTCGTTGATTAGGGTTCCAGTAAAACCTGGTCTTTGACGGCGTTACACCACCACGACGAACAACAACACACCACCCCGACAACAAACGACAACGCCACACGACAATGAACAACAAAGGCCACCACAACAACATCACCACGAACGACAATGCCACACCACTACACTAGACAGCACAGCAACCACCAACGTCCATAGAGGACCGATGTCGATGATGCCTCAAACCTAACCAAAGACCACCACTAGGGTTTCTGCAATTCTTTCACCACCACGATGGCTTCGACAGCAGTAGCACACCACCACGAACACTGACTGAGTTGATATTTTATTCAGAATATATTTAGGATCGTAATGGCTCTGATATCATGTTAAGTCGAGAGGATTAACACAATATTAGAGAGAAACAGAAAGTGGTCAAAACTTAATCTACCTCTCACAAAACACTTGTATTTATAGTTAACTTGTAATAATGCAAAAGACATAAATACCCTCTAATATTTACACCCAATACCCCAATACTCTTAACAATATGTAACAACTTGGATTTAGGCTACAAAATTTTGCTGATTTTATGACAAAAACAAATTCTTCAATAAAATTTGGGAGACCATTAATCGGCATGGGCCACCTAATATTTACGCCAAAAACAAAATCACAGTAATAATATTTTCAACTTACATGACCTGAGAAGACAATATCAACGCCATACTTATACAGAATTGCTTCCATTTCCAACCTCATGCATTCAAATTCCTGGTAGTGTGAGGAGTAGCTATTGTACCAAGGAGGATGCCATGCAGCTACAAGCCAAGGGGTCACACTGCGGTCTACTTTGTCCATGTTGTCTTTCAGCCAAGCATACTGGGCACCTATAATTACAATGTGACAAACACTAAGATTGATACCAACGAAATCTTCTAGTCGCAGTCATGCCTTCAATCTCACGGGTATCCAGTGAAAAATAAAAAATAAATACCTTATAAAAAATAATATTGAGAAAGAGAATGGAATCAATCACCAGAACTGTTGTAGTCAACATATGCTCCCAACATGATGAAATGTACTCCCCCAGCATCAAAGGAGTAATAGAAGTTACTGTTGGAGCCAGACTCATTTGAAGGAACAGCAAATCTGGTAAGATATGATTTGAAAGTGATTCCGGCAGCTTGAGGCTCAATCTCATGGTTGCCTTCTATAACCATCATAGGAACTCTAGAGATAAGGGGCTCCATGAACCTAGATTTTTAATTCAATTGTGTCAGTACACCGGAATGGATCAATTATTGCATATTATGCATCCAAATCCTTACAGCTTGTGCACATCATGCATCTGTTAGAAGTAACTTAACATACCTAAAAAGAAATAGCTTCGTTATTCCATTCATGCATGTAAGGCATGAAACAGAAATGGAAGATAAGTACTCAAACTAAGAACATGAAGCTTGTATGCTTTCATCAATCGATCTGGGTGTCTCTGTATCTCGTCTAATTACATATTATAATGCCTCTGTTTATTATAAATAACATGAAGTCCCACCTAAATTTTGCATGTTATAACAAAAGCATTCCTTGACAGAATTATAGGAAGATCCCCTGATATTACAACAATGACAGGTGACCATCCACTAGAACAATGAAGAAATATCAGTGACTAATCAAATAAAGCAAGAAAAACTGACACAAATATATCTTTTGTTTGTCAATCTGTAATCACATATGTTGCCTTCAACTCCGAACAGAGCAGAGAACTGTTTATCGGTCAGTAATTCCATCTTTTAAGCAGAAACTTGCTCAATTGTTAGTTATGAGTCTAATGTAATATGGCTAAGCTTTCTGAATAAGTACTTCATTGTTCAGTTTCATTCATGACTAATTTAGACAATAACTATGCTAGTGAATGAAACACCTTGATAGAACCGCATCGGGGGATTATCAAAGGGCGTTATGATCCAATTTTATGGGAGGATATTCTTTCTGATCATCCATTATTGTAATTATAATAGCACCTCAAGTAATTATATGATTATTTTTCCTTCTATCGAAATCCAGCTCCAGCCTGCAATTTTGAATGAGAAAGGTGGTTTCATATTTAAGTTGGTGAATTAAGGTCACGATCTGAGTTGGAAAAAAATTCGGAAAAAAAAAAAAAAAACTGAACAGAAAACGAGAAAGCATTAACATAACTGCACGCAAACAAAAAAATCAGAATATCTTAGGCAGAAAAGACAAATGCAATTTAGAAGATGAACTACCTTCCCCAACCATCCCATCGAGGTTGAAATGTTTCTCTAATGGGTGCATCCGGGAACGCACGTGAAAAGCTTGAAGCTCCTTTCCCACCAGTTGTAAGGTACTGATTTGCATAAGTTAAGTCTCCAACCATTAAAACCATTGATGGATCATTCTCGATCATATGATCGATGGTGGTTGTTGAGTTGCTTGTGAGGCCTAAATCTCCAACAACTGCTATTCGATGAGGATAAGAATCCGGCCCGGGCAGTGTTAAGGTTTCGAAGGCATGCTCCTCACTCATAGCTGGTAAAGAACTGTCCCCACACTTGTAATAATATTTCATTCCAGCTTCAAGGCCTACAAGAATTGAGAAAAGCTGGAGCACCTTAATCCCAACGCAGACAGAACAGCCCAATGGACTCACAATTAAGTATAGTATCATATTAGTAACTTGGCAAGGACACATTGAATAAATGATATGTTACAGGATGATATTGCGACCCAAATACTGTAGAAGTCTGCTTTCCACTTGTAAAGCATTTGAAATGAGCAGTTAACATCTGTTTGCTAAGGACCATAAGGAACTTAAATGTGTAACTCAGACCAAACCAACTCCATGCCTGATGACAAGGATTATTTTCGAAATTAGTTACTCAGAAACTCAAACATTTTTAATGACCACCCACATATTATTCTTTCCCTTCTAAGTTCATCTACTTAACTCATATTCCTAAAATAGTTCTTACTTGCACAAAGCTTATGAATGAAATCAATTACATTCCATGAACTTACAATCTTTTTCTTACATACGACAGAAACTGTACTAACTAGTATCAAATCTTTATATTATCTTATATAACAGTAACATATAACACAGGATCTGCTTTGTGATACAACTTGGACATTATTTACATGTTTGTCAGAGAGGAATATCAAAAATTTTTTGTGGTTACAGCACAAAAAATATACAGCAGGCGCATAGATTAATCAACCTTGTCAATTTCACCAATGTTTCAAAACATTTTGGAAATAAATTCTTAATTTTTTTATTCTTTTCTATTCTATTTTCAAAACATTTCTAAAATATTTCAAAGATGTTTCTATTTCCTAAGTGACCAAAACAATGCAACAAGACGAAATTTTGATTCTTGCTAAGAAAAAGTGAGGACATGGAAATAAAGTTTAGATCGAATAAAAATCCTTTTCAGAATCTTTTAGAATAAACCTCTATTTATGCCAATTTGGTATCCATTAATACGTAGGTATATTGATCATGTCATAAAAAGAAAAAGTTATCATTCATCCCCGATATCTTAGCATTAACCTAAGAATTATGAGTTTAACAGTATTCTTCTTATAATGACATGCCACCATGATCCCTATTTTGGAATCTATTCATAAAACTAGTAAACTACATAAACAACCTCACAATGCAGGGTTCCCACTGAATTCATAGGTATAAAAAACCTCCTACTCTCAATACAAAGTTACAGCACCTGGATGTGTTGAACATCAGAGAAATCACAATTGTTTGTTAAGCATTGCTATTTTTATGAGAAAGTAAGAAAATTAGTTTTTCCTGTGTGGTGATGTCTTCCAGAAGCTCACAACTGGAATCTAGACAGTTCCGCTGATTTGAGAGAAATTCATCTGATTCAGAGATGTTATATATGAATTGAATAAAACTCGCAAAATCATGAATGACAAGAGAAACAGACAATTAATAGGTATTTTTTTTTTCTTTCTTACCATCAATCTTCACATGATGAATAATGCCAGAGGTGTAATTCCAAAGACCCTCAAATGGGTACAACTGACTGTAAATTGTTGAAACTCCAGTCTGTTTCATAGAATATTTCCCACTTTCTTTACCGTACCACACCTCACTAGCAACCATTGAAGGATCAAGTGGAGTCACATTAAGACCTATCTGGGCATCCCCTAAAAAAATAACGCAAAACAACCCAGTTCAACACTTGAACAATTCAACCCACCAAACAAGCTGAAGAAAACTGCAAAAAAAAAACCCATCACAGAATAAATAGACAAGATTTACAGCAGTAACCCAAGAAACCCTCATTGAGGCAGGGGTCAATACAAAATAACCCAATTGAACACTTGAATAATCCAATCAGCCAAATAAGCTGAAGCAAAATAGGACAGAACCCATCATAGAATAGAAAAGATTCATACCAGTAACCCAAGAAACCCACACTGATGTAAGAATCGATACGAATAAAAAACCCAATTCAACACTCGAATAGCTCAAGCAACCAAAAAAGCTGAGGAAAATAGTACAAATCATATCGAGACTAGACAAGAATTAGTACCAGTAACCCAAGAAACCCACATTGATGAAGGCGTTGATATTGCAAGAGCTATCTGTTCTGGAAACATTGAGGTGACATTCCTCTTAAGTCTAGGATTATCCATAGGCAAATCATCACTGCCTCGACGCAAAGATGGATCAAAACTCTGAGTTACTGGCTCAAAAGGGCCTTCTAAGGTAGTGGGTATTTGCTGTCCAGTGACCACCATGTCTCCTATAATCAAGAGAATGATTAAAACTACACAAAATTTACAGTTCTCCATAAGGTTCAATGCTGAATATTATTCCCGTTCTTGACTATGAGGACTATAAATCCATGAAAACATGAATTGGTGTAAATGTGAAGGAATGAAGAGATTGGTTAGTTTGGTGATAGTTGAAAGTAGATTTGTTGGACAAAGTGATGTAAAGGTTCAGTGACTTTTGTACATGGCAACTCGAAAATGGAATATGCTGGTCGTGTGGGTTGGGGTATTCCAGTTTCAGTTGTTACGCACGTATCTATCTTCTTCTTTTCTTTTATTTTAAGTTTTTCAATTAATTTATGTATATTTCAATTAGTTTCATTTAATTAAAAATAAGTTATTCACGCTGAAATTAAGACTTATCTTAAAAAACTATTAAAATTTAATTTCAAAACATCTAAATTTACAATATATTTATATTAAAATTTAAAAAATTCACAATTTTTTTTTTTTTAAGCGTGTTTTTTTGTTTGGTAGGTGTTTCAAAAGGGACACCAATTGGACGACTAGCGAGCTCTAGTTGATGATGGTTGACTTAGAACACACGCAGCCAATATAAGGACATGAACTATTTAGAATTAAATAATATTTCCAAACTATATGATCTGGTTTACTATGGACACTAACAGCATGAACACAATCAGAATTTTATCGTAAAGGACGAAAACTTGTATAGAATAATTTAAATTGACACTGGAAACCAAGATTTTTATGTTGAAGGGAGCCTAAATTTTAGTGGGCAAACTTCATTTTACACCTTGGGGTTTCGCTCATTTGCATATAACTCGCTTGAAATTTAAAAATAGTGTAGAATTCCCTTGTGATTTACGAACTAAAATAAACCGTCACATGTTCCATTTAATTTAACTGTTCGTGCAAATAACGTAATTACTATACAAAATTTATGTCCATTTTAAGGGTATTTTTGTCTTTTTGCTATCCTTTGTTTATAATAAGTTGCATAATAGGCATGTTAACACGGGCAGTTAAATTAGATAAAAAATATGACGGTTCATTGTAGTCCATAAATCACAAAGGAATTATGTGCTATTTTTAGACCTCAAGGGGGTTATGTGCAACTGAACTAAACTACAAGGGGATAAAATAAAATTTGTCCAATTTTATTCAAGAAATTACCATTAATGACAAATGATTAGTTCTACATGACTAGTCAATATCAACTTCATAACATCATACCATCGTACAAGTTAATCTAGGTCATAAAATAATAATAAAAACGAACTCTCACCTATCCACGTATTAAAAATAATTTTTAATATTTTGACTCTTTGTTTCCACTAAGACCTCTCAAATTTATCCCTTAAAAATGACTTATCTCTCATATAACTTTTAAATTTGCAATTTTTTTTACTTATAATCATAAATTATACTTCTTATAAAAGCATAAAATAGAACTTATTACGGTATAACTTATGATTTTAAAACATAAAAATATAATCATTAAACTAAAAATAGGGAGACTTTTTGTATGATTTTACGGGCTGGGCTTCGACCCAGTCTACAAGAAGGGGCAGCGTAGTGCTTCGCAACCGTAACAACTTGGGATTGGGCCAAACGGGCCTCTTTTCAGCCTAGATCACGCTGCAGATGGGCTTCAGAACTCCACAGCCAGCCCGACCCATAGACAGGCCAACAGAAGTATATGCGATGAGGCAAGCCTGCAAGTTGGCCACACTGGTGGGGTACCAAGTGATTAATATTGAATCAGATTCTAAAATGCTTATTCAAAGAAGAGGTATCCAAAAAAAAATATTTGACAGCATGCACATCAGCTGCAAGTACAAAGTTTTTGATTTCTTTTGTTCTTGTAATATTGGTTATAATTTTCTTTCGGTCATATGAAGACTAAAAACAAACTAGAAAAGTCGTAAAATTCAACTGCAGATGATCAATTAGATTTTGATGCGATTAAATACACCAATAGTCAGAGTAGGCATTTGTGTGTATCGACCCTAATTCCATACTAATTTAAATGCCTTTTGGACATGGTAGTCCTCTTCCACCAACACTACATGGTGCAACGAAAGGGTAAGGCAGCCCAGCCCATTCAATTGGTGGACATTGGTCCTGCCAAATCGGGTTTCAACGACAGATATACCTGTTTGACTTTTAGGCCAAATTGGACTACCCTTAAGGTTACCCATTGATACCAGATCTCTACTCTATTTCTAATTACGTCCATCAATTGTGTCGGATGAGACAAATTCGTGTCAAAAAATATTTTATTTATATCCGATTTATTTATTAATTTTTGTCTAACGAATCATGTAATATCGGATTCATATCGTATATGAACCGTGTATACGATTATATAAAACGAGTCATATTGTGTATTTATTTTGATTGATTTCACCCACACCCGATTCATTTAGAAATCCTTTCGGGTCAGGTCCAATCATTTACTAAATAAGTGGTTTATGAAAGACTCAAACCTTCTATTTTCTTGTCGTGTTCGTATTGTATTAACGGATCGTATTATATTTTAAAATATTATAATAAAATTTTGATGCTTGATTTGACTAATAGATTCTCCTGACACTCAATAAAACACAATAAATTGAATAATACAATATCAAACATAGATAAAAGTCACAAATTTTGATTTTCGTAGAATAGAAATCCAGCTATCCATGGTTAGGATATCGTAAGCCTAAACTTATGGCTCGCAATCCTTGGATTGGCCGAAAATCCTAGCGGCTCGTCAAACCATGGGCTAGAACAAGAGCAGGCAAGGTGGGATGCTGGTTACTTATATGGTAGATTCGTCAATGGATTGAATTTTGATTCAAATCTGATCTAAATTTGAATTTAATTAGTCGGATATGAATTTATATTTTTTTTTATCGATTACCTGACACTGAATAAAAAATCTTTTATATCACACTTATATTCAATCCGATTATGATCAAATCCAAAAATATATATATGTTTTGTACAAATATTAAAAAAATTAAGCGATTATTGAAAAAATTTTGTTAAAATTTGAATATAATTTATTAAAATTCAGTTAAATTAAGTTGTTTGAATTGTTAACGGATTTAAATATGAATCATAAAAATTAAATTCATCGGATTATCAAATCAAATTAGAATCAAAATTTTAGATTCAAATTCAAATTCATTCCGTTAACCAGGCTATTTTCTGGTCTATTTAAGGCTGAGGGGATGGACCAGCCCTATGAAGGCAAACTATCAGACTGGCCGGTGGCCAATCCCATCGACTAGCTAAAATAAAAAATAAATTTTATGATTTACATTTAGATAATAAAAAAAAAATTAGACTATGATTCGAATAAAAGACCGGTTGCATTTTTTTAGAGGGATTTTTTTGTGATGAAAATACACGAAATTTTCATAGAGGGATTAGTCTGGGGGTGAAAATACAATTATAAAATTTAGAGTAAACTACACATATAATTCTCAAACTATGATCATTGTGCCAATTAATTTCCTGAATATATTTTTTGTGTCAATTGAGCACTTGAACTCTCTAATTGTGTCAATTGAACCCTTATCTGTCTGCTTCCGTTAAATTTTTTAATGGAAAGTGAGAAAATTGTGATGAATTGAAGTAAACTACACATATAACCCTCAAATTATGATTTTTGTGTCAATTAAGTTTTTAAACTTTGTTTTGTATCAATTAAGCTCTCAAACTCTCTAATTGTGTCAATTGTGTTAGTCTATTTTTTTGTATCATATAGTCACGTGAGTTACATATTCTAACAGAGGCAGATAGAATGCTCAATTGACACAATTAAATAATTCAGTGACTCAATTAACAAAAACAAAATTATGAGGTTAATTGACATAAGAATCATACTTTGAAGGTTATATATATAATTTACTTTACAATATATGAATTCTCATTTAAAGAAGTGGGACTGCTACAACTTGGAAAAAAAAGAAGACCACGTTACCATGGAAAAAAAATTCAATACCATAAGCACTAATTTTTATTACTTTTGCAGGAGTTTTAATCATTTTTGCGAGTATTTTTACAACAAAAAAAATTATAATTATTGTATGTATTTTTACAATTTTTGTGATAAATTTGTGATCGATTCTCGCAAGTTATCACAAAAAATGCTGAGACCACCTATAAAAATCATAAAAACACTCTCAAAAGTTATAATAATAATGATATGGTACCAAAACTTTTTTGGTACAACATTACGGACTTCTCGAAGAAAAAAAAAAGAAGAAGAAAGAAGTGGGACATGCATGCATGCAATGCAAATCTATCCACGTGGCTGCAAACAAGTGGATAGAAATTAAGAGAAGTGTGAGGGAAACCATGCATGTTACAGCAAAACAATCAATCAAAGTCACGTGCAATTGTGCTATGTATTTGTGTTTCATCCTGGTCCCAGACACAAACTGCACATGCAGTCACGTGGATACACCTTTTCATCATAATTACAGGATCTAAATTTCTTTCAATTTTTTTTCCTTTATTTTTCTTTTTGATAAATTATCAATTATATAAAGTGGTCTTACTTTAATTCACGGTAGGTAATAAGAAAAATAGAAAAGAAATATATTCAAGAAATCTCATTCCAAAATTACCAGACAATTTTTTAGATCCCACTATTCCATCGATTTTTTTTCCCGATGTCACACTTTTTTTTTCATTAATTCGCAAGTCAATAGCGTGGAGGTTCTTGCTCGAATAGGCATTTTTTCTTTGACAAGAATGTGATAAATTATTTTTTTATTTACACTACCAATTGCCATAAATAAATCAATGTAAGACCAACGGTTAAAAATTATTTTGCTCACACTCAAAATGTGTTGGTGGAATATATCATGTTTAACCAAAGTTAACACTTAGGGATGCTCTCCATACAACTTGGCTAGTAGGTCATGTCTCAAACTTTCCATTATTCTCATGAATTAATTGCCAAATAATACATACAACCTCCATTCAAAATAGGGTATTATTGTCAACAAAAAAAAAAAAAACTTGGAATTAACCTGCACGGGTAGTCTAGTGGTATGAGATTAAACTTACGGTAAATCATAGACTCGTACGTTATGAGTTTGATATTCGTTGATGACTTCCAATCTTATTTGATATATGTGATTTGTGGACAATTACAGGTATTTGGAGTTTACTCTGCATGAGTGAGTCCAATGTAATCCTGCCTCAGAGAGATTTCGTGTTTGGGAAAAAAAAACTTGGAATCGGCCTT